CCCCCCCCCTCAGAACTCGCGAACGGTATGTCGTATGACAACTAAATTTTAGAGGATGGTGTACTAGTAAAAATTATCATATCTGCATTTTTATGTCGTTATGACGTAATATGACGTCATCATGACGTAATTAATCTGGGTTTATTGGCGAAACCCGTCTAGATAGGTTATTCCCTGAAAACAACATAACTTTACCAAAAGAGTTTATGACAGGTTATTACGGTGTACTAAGTCTTATGTTGCCCATAGCAACGCCGGTGACGTCATAAAATGACGTCATGCATATTTAAGCTACCCGCCATCTTGGATCATCAATCTTGAATTTTTAAAAATAGTTCTTTTTTCCAGGATTAAGCCTAAAATATATTGATAACATACAAAGACCTTCATATAAATCTTTTTCGGAAAAAGAAACGGAAGTATTGATGAAATTTTAAGGAAAATAACCTGTATGTGCCTGTTCTAATGATATGGTCCGTCATCTTGGATTTTGGCCAATAACGTCAACACATTAGCATAAAATATGCATATTTAATGATAAAATTTACATAAAATTATATGGGATGTTATTAATATTAGAACCCATGTGTAACTTGACTTAAAACCCATAAAATTCTATTGTTGAAACAAAAATTATTAAAAATAAATGTAAGAAACCCGTTGCCATGGCAACACAAAAATGATTATCTTATTCCATTGATAGAGAATTGTTGCCAACAATATCCTATCCGCTATCCGTTCAGACGCTATGTGACATCAAAGTTGGCGCAGGCACTATTACCCCCCCCCCCCCCGTCTAGGTAGGGTTAAGAAGCAAAAACTGCCAAAATATACATGCGTTAACGCTAGAAATAAAGTTTTTTTTTTTTTTTCCATTATTGTAATAATGAAATTAGTTGATGGTGGTTTTCATTAGCTGACGAGTGAAGATGGATTGTCAGATCTTGCACTTGAAGATTTTAAGAGACACGGCACCGGTCTGTGAAGGTACGTGTTACAATGTAGTTATTGTTTCAAGATATCATGTGCTTGTAAGAGATGAGCGAACAACAACAACAACAAGATGAAAAAGACGGCAATGCCATTTTAGTGTATTCTATTCCATGATATGGTACACATCTCTATCGTTTTGTGCTAATACGTACAACTCTGATATGGTACGGACAGAATTGGATAATGAATGAATGGATGATTAAATTACTTCATGATGTTATTTGTATTGTTTGATTCACTATAAAAACGCAGGTGAAATTCACTATTACTAGTACCTTTTCGGGGGGAAGTTTCTTCCAGTCCCTTTGCCGGTGAGCTCAGCCTGGTGGGACAAGAAAATGAATTATCCAAGAGTACTTACTAGGCGCATATAACAAATTTAACATAATGAAGAAAAAACACACGTGGTTCACTAATGTGTCTGGCTTTTTTTGTTGAATATTAGGTTCAACATTTACAAAATCGCTTGCACGAAGCAATACATACTTACCCATAGTATGCAACTTTTTGTGGATATTTCTTCAACTCATCCACGACGCTCTGCAGCCCTGCCTCAGACAGAGCCTCCATCAGGACCTCTATGGTAGCGGCGTCTCCCTTCTTCTTCTTCCATTCCTGCAGCATGTCCATACAGCGGGACTTGTCGTCGCGGTTTCTGCCGGCAATGTTCCTGATGTCAGGATTCGGCAAGCCGAGATGGAAGGCCAGATCTTCCCAATCTGTGGTCACGTTATCTTTGACGAAATAGAAGTATTTTCCAACGTCTGAAAGAAAAGGTTAAACACAATGCATATTTAATGGACATCGTATCATAGCTCGGCAATGATATCGGTAAGTCTGGGATATGATTTAAATAAGACCTAACATGTACAGCAACTGTCGAAGTATTGTTGTTTATACATTTTGTTATATACCCTGATGGCATCTAGATGACAGCAATATGACATACTTGTGGAAAAGAAACACCTCCTATTCAATGCCTTTCATTCAATGCCTGCCACAGACAAGCTTTTCCTACTACATCGATGAATGTTAGACATCCAGGTAATACGATACGCCAAAAAGCAGTTACTCAAGCAACTGGATATGATTTTGAAAACGTCAGACGTTTCAGCTAATATCCACTAGCTTTCGTCAGTGACTGAGAGACCAGAGGGGAAATGCAGGTTTATAAGCCCACCTATTGATTGATATGCAAATAAAGTGAAGACAAATGTTTGGAAGTCGAAAAAGGAACAAAAGTCAGACAAGTCAAGACAAGATGATGCAAATTAGTCTGAAGAAGCAGTTTCAGTAGTCAGGGAAGCCTTGGAAGCCGACGACACACTTGCAGATAGAACCAACCTATCCGTTGACCAATTTGTGAGCTACTAGAACTCTGCTTAGGATGCACATACTTCACCTACAAAGGACAGTTCTACTAACAAATGCAAGGCTGTGCTATGGGATCACCAGTTTCACCAATCGTTGTAAACCTGTACATGGAGAAGTTTGAAAACAAAGCCCTCAGTACTTTCAATGACACTCCCCCGGCCAACTGGTTTCGATATGTAGATGACACTAGGTGCAGATTGAAAAAGAGGGTAGCGGCTGATTTCTTTGACCACATCAACCAGATAGATGACAACATCAAGTTCACACAGGAGCCAAGTCACGACAACATGCTCCCTTTCCTAGACACCAAAACTATCGTAGATGAAGATGGTAACCTTCGGTTCGAAGTGTACAGGAAACCAACCCACACTGATCAGTACCTGGCCTTTGATATTCCCACCACCCTTTGGAACACAAACTAGCAGTGATCAAAACTCTCTTCCATCGTGCAGACAACATTATCACTTCAGACATAGCCAAAACGGACGAACATAGACACCTCCGAGGTGCCCTGGCTAAATGTGGCTACCAAAACTGGACTTTCAACAAAGCGCTCAAACCTTCAGATCAGTCTAAGAAAACCCAGAAGTGCAAACCATTGACCAACAAAAACAAGGTCAACATTACTATTCCGTATGTCCAAGGAGTATCTGAGAAACTCCGACGGATCTTCCAAAACTTCAACATAGCCACTAACTTCAAACCGCACTCAACCCTCAGACAAAGACTGGTACACCCTAAGGACCGACCTCACAAAGGTACCAAGGCGAATGTTATTTACAGACTCAAATGTGAGGAGACCAATTGTAACAACACCTACATCGGAGAGACAAGTCGACCGCTCAAAGTAAGCTACAAAGAACATTGCCGACCTAGTGCCAACGGCTACTCCTCAGCTATTTTCCACCACCTACAACACAATCAGGGTCACTCTTTCAAACTCGAGTCCACGAATATCTTAGACCGCGAAACACGCTGGTGAGAACGGGGTGTTAAAGAGGCAATATATGAAAGAATGTACAACCCCACCCTCAACAGGGAAGGGGGCTAAGGCTCGATCTTTCCGGCACTCCGCTCCCAGAGCCGAGGACAGACTTAAGCTCCCGTTCTGTATAATCCTGTTCTGTACAACAGGAGCTTTCAGACTAATTTGCATCATCTTGTCTTGACTTGTCTGACTTTTGTTCCCTTTTCGACTTCCAAAAAATTGTCTTCACTTTATTTGCATATCAATCAATAGGTGGGCTTATAAACCTGCATTTCCCCTCTGATCTCTCAGTCACTGACGAAAGCTAGTGGATACTAGCTGAAACGTCTGACGTTTTCAAAATCATATCCAGTTGCTTGAGTAACTACTTTTTGGCTTTTCCTACTACATCTTGTTGGTGAAGTTACTCCCTTTCTTCGTAAACAAAATGTTTTTTTACTTACCTACGAAGGCTGCACTGTCGTGGGCTTCTTTTGAAGTCTGTAAATATCGTATATATTAACTAAATATAACTATTATTATTTACATAAAGGTGCGTGTAAATGTATTATATCATTATGTATTTATCCTGATTTTGTCTATGTCATCAAAATTAATTACTATGGACCTGAGTATCTAAAATACAAAATGAATTGTAACGATACACAATCTATAGCAGATTGTAGAAAAAGAATACGTCTGTATAAGATATTCATAATCTATATCAATATTATCCACGCGTTATTCCATTTCTCTTCTTTTGCTGATGGATATTGTTTTTCTTAATATTTATTCTAAGGCTAGGTCTATTGCGGTTTTTCTCACAAAAGCAGACAAAAATACCTTTTTGGTTCCACTTGGTACACGGATTGGGAGCTCGCAAAGCTTTTCTGGCAGTAGATCGTCGGTGGGATGTCCCAGTTTTTCGAGTTTCTTGCGCACGTTCCTGATTTTGACGTTCTTATTTGTCCCCTTTTGGACATTGACGCGTGGCAAGGCAAAGAAGACAACAGTTCCGTTGCCATCTGAACCATCGTGGGCCTCCACCTGCAGTTGAAGACGATTACGTTTCCGGCTGTGGAATGTGATGTGTTGTTGTGTGCAGGATGGCGCGATTGAAACATTACCCAGCAAACGTGCTTCTACTTTTTGTCCTTCGAATATGCACACTTCGTCAGTAGGCAATGGACCAGTATAAAGCTCGTTCATCAGCTCGGCGCGTCTCTCTTCGGCATTACTAGCTGGGGTGCATTCTATGAGACATTCGTTTGTGTTGTTCTCTCGCTGCAGTAGGATGAACTGTACGGCACTGTGTTGAAGCCATCGGCAAAGGTGAAGGGGGATCGGGTCTAGCTCCTCTGGGTCATCGTAGATGTCCGTGAGAACGATCACAATCCATCTGAAAATGAAATATACCGTCTGTTATAAACCGTCTGAAATATACAGTGACAAATCCATGCTGATAGATATTTCGTTTTAATCGATTAAGGAAGGTACATGTATATTGTAAGATTAAGAAAGGTAAGTGTAAGATTTTGTCACCATTTTATTCAATCAACGACGTAGAAAATGTACTCAGTGTATGATGTTCCACACTTTTAGATATAGTTATTGCCATGTTCTTCTTAGTTAGTTTCTGATGTAAAATAAAGGATCATGATATTACCTGGTAAAATGAGTGACTTCAAACTCCACAAACTCCTCTGTAACCCTGCTCATACTGATGATGTCTGTCACATCTACCCAGTCTTCTGTCCCCTCCTCACATGACATCACCCTCAGTTTGGTGGGTCCCTCATGTTGGATGTCCATGTAGTGTTGAGGATGTGGGACTCGCACTGTGATCGGTTTGCGGAACTGTACTTCGGAGGTCGACACAGTCTCGACATTGACTATCGGACTGGTTCCAACGAGGTTCTGGAAAGACTGGTCCTTTGCCTTGATGTCCTTAACTGCTCTTTTTGGAACCTCTTGCACCTACGGTTGAAATGAAATGTGGTGTTATATCAAGTATAATGTCAGTATAATCAAGTGCCAGATAAAGATCATTACATTACTGTACATAATGATGTCAATGAATTTAGTAGCAGAAATGGCAGAAAGTTTCCTTCAGGCTTTCATAATGACCAACAGATTCGGCTACTAGTAGGCTGTTTTAAGTTTAACGACATTTAACACTAATTATAATTATCATAACATTGTATTAGTACGATATCTATTGGCTTTTTCGATCAAACACGGCTTACCAAGAAATTTGTTTGTTCGAGCCATTCTTTACTAATGTACTTGAGCTCAAATTAACATGAAAGTCGCTTTTCAAGGTGAAATAATAGTAATTTGCAAATATTCAGAATGAGACCTCGTCGACCATTTTTATACTTAGTTTTACCGAATGCAACCCTAACCTGTACTGTGACTTGTGTCTCTGTGTTCACAGCCTGTTCCGGGAAGCTGATTTGTACCGCAGGCTGCGTTGATGACGTCAGCTTAAACCCTTCTATAGGCACAGTAAACTGGTCCTGTTTAGGTTGACTGATGACGGCAAAGATGGAGAAGTGGTCCATTACCACGGAAAACTTGCCTTCGCTCTGAAATGAAATATATGTTATAGAGGACTACGTGTCAGGTATCAGTATTCCTTTCTATGGCAAAATTTTATGTCCATCCACTTACGTCTTATAACAAGACTTAGTATGAAGCTCCGAACTATAACAAAGACTATCATGTTCGTCCACGTACTTCTTCAGTGGTTTTAAGTTTCGTCCAATGTATCCCGTCCTCAGTGACCCACACGGCAGCTTCCGTAGCGCCATCTGACGACTTGCTGTTGCAATGCATCTGCACAGTTACAGGTTGGTGAAAGGTTGTCCCGGGCGGACCCAGCTCTATGATGTCACTCACTAACATCTCCCCTACCTCCAAAGAAATGGTGACGTCATTGGGGTTGATGACCTGACAGGTGATTTCTGTTTCCATAGTAACGGCCCCACGTGGTACAGAGACGGTACAATTCGTGGTTTGTAGTTCACCTCCTTCTGGACCCACTTTGAGCTTGTGCAAGTAAGGGCTGTGACAGAACATGTAATTCCATCATACATAGTACTTGAATATTACTTAGCATGAAAGGAATCTGTATTTAGAATTATCAATGTTCGATGCTTATACAGTTTTAATGAGTAACATCACTCGGTCGCTGCAACATACGCAAGGCGTCAGTTGTACTGTGCACTTGAAGTATAAAACATTATACAGACAGACAGTTGCTAACAATAAGTATGTAATGCCTGTATTAGACTTATTTCTACGTAACTCCCCATTCCTGCTTTTTTAGTCTACTAAACGTGAAGAATGATTACAATATCTTAGTCAAGATTTAGTACTATATCAATTGAGTGCTTTAATACCTGTCTTGTTATGCTTTCCTGATAACACATTATTGATACTGCATGCCTCATCAACCATATTTTACCTACCGGCCGGCCTTTTCTGCTGCAAAAAGCTCGAGAATCTTCTTCCTTCCTTCCAGGACGCGATCTTTACCTCTTCGGTGCCAGGGCGGAACGTCTGTACTTGCCGCTATGTCCTCAGGAGTCTCGCCGCGCTACACAGAAAACAGCACCCTTTAGTCTGTCACATTGGACGTCATTTAAAACAGATTTAGATAACTTCGAATTCATGAAATGCAATACAGATGTGATTGCCAAAGATAAGCCGAGAGTTATGCTGTTTTTGATACTCAGATGTAAATTGATATTGCCATTATAAGTATGTTGTTGGAATAGGCATACAAGTCATCATTTGCCAAGATGAGTCTAATGTGGAAATGAAGCCCAAATTATAAGTGTAAGTTATTTATTATTATTACTTATATTTTTCATTATAGGTATAAAGGCAGTCGAGTCAATTCTTCATGGCAGTAGGTCACAAGTCAAGAGTAATAAACATGACGTCTCATTCTATTCCTGTAGTCAAGAAGGTTGCCAATTATACTATTAAGCCCAACAAACATGTCCATCACCAGTAGTAAGCGCCAAACCTTACCACATTCCTATTGTCCACCTGTGCTCCAGCCTTCAGGAGGAGTTCAGCAACACCCACATGTCCTCCTGTAGCTGCCTCGTGAAGTGGCAAGTTTTCATCCTGTAGCAGCAGGAACAGAGATGACATTACATGGTAATGACCATAATCAACACCAAATATGTGTGACGTTAAACATTCAGACATGTCAGTCACCTGTAGTAGGTATCAACCCTTACCCGATCCCTACTGTCCACCTGTGCTCCAGCCTTCAGGAGGAGTTCAGCAACACCAACATGTCCTCCTGAAGCTGCCTTGTGAAGTGGCGTGTTTCTAAGCTGTACCGGTAGGGACAGAGAGGACATTCATTACATGGTAAGAAAGACCCCTGTTAGCATAATACACACAGTAGTTATCCTTTGAATTAAATATCAACCTTCACATATGTACTTCACCTGTAGTATAAGCAACAACCCTTACCCGATCCCTACTGTCCACAGGTGCTCCAGCCTTCAGGAGGAGTTCAGCAACACCAACGTGTCCTTTTAAAGCTGCCTTGTGAATTGGTGTGTTTCCAGACTGTAATAGCAGGAAACAGAGATGACATTACATGGTAAGAGAGGTCTGTCCCCATCGACATTGTCATAGTCAACACCGGTATATACCAGATATTCAATATTAGTAGTAGGTATCAACCCTTACCTCATCCCAACAGCCCACCTGTGCTCCAGCCTTCAGGAGGAGTTCAGCAACACCAACATGTCCTCTTGAAGCTGCCTTGTGAAGTGGCCTCTCCTCAAGCTGTAACAGCAGTAACAGACGTGAAATATGCATTACATGGTAAGGGAAGCCTATTTATTACAATTGACAGATCTGCATGACTTCCAATACTTAAACATGCCCATCACCCGTAGAAACAACCCTTACATGACCCCTACTGTCCACCTGTACTCCAGCCTTCAGGAGGAGTTCAGCAACACTAACATGTCCCCCTAAAGCTGCCTCGTGAAGTGGCGAGTCTTCAAACTGTAACAGCAGGAACAAAGATGGCATTACATGGTAAGAAAAGCCTGTTGCCATTACCCTAACAAACACTAAATATGTGTGACGTTCAGCACTCAAACATGTCCATCACCTGTAGTAAGTATTAACCGTTACCTCATTCCTACTGTCCACCTGTGCTCCAGCCTTCAGGAGGAGTTCAGCAACACCAACATGTCCTCCTGAAGCTGCGTTGTGGATTGGCGTGACTTTATCCTGTAACAGCAGGAACAGAGATGACATTACACGGGAAGTAAAGTCTGTCTCTACCATCCTCATAAACACTACTAAATATGCCTGGCGTTAAACATTCAAATATGTCCATCATCTGTAGTAATCATCAACCCTTACCTCATCCCTACTGTCCACCTGTGCTCCAGCCTTCAGAAGGAGTTCAGCAACACTAACATGTCCTCCTAAAGCTGCACAGTGAAGTGGTGTGTTTCCTTTCTGTGACAGCAGGAACAGAGATGACATGTACATGGTAAGAGAAGCACATTTGTTTTGTGATGTGACGTATAAAGACCCTGTAACAGCAATTAAAAGAACAGAGATGGCATTACGTATACATTACAAGAGAAGTCCATTTATTTTTCCTCATGAACACTTTTCAAATTTAATTATCATCACTTCACATCATATTACTTGTCCTTATATCATTAATAAATGGGAGAAAGTCATATAGTTTCAAACACTAAATATATTTGGCGTTCAATGTTCAATAGCCTGTTTTCTTCACACACCAAGTTCTCCTGTTCAGTAACCGATAGTCTCGCCTCAAGGAAACTGTGTGTCATGTGGGGAATGACGATAAACTTTGTCGTGTTCAGTATCTGTTATTTTTTTTTACCTTGGGAGAACTAAGAACAAAGCGTATCATGTGGACCTACTATACAGTGTGTTAGTTCAGCTGACACCACTGAAGGGGGTTAACGCAGTGTTCTGAAACGCCAGACTCTATGAACCTGAAAAAAATTACTTCTAACAAATACTCTGGCTTCAACCAGGCCATGGAAGACAGAGGTTTTTTGACTGCCATTTTGACTGTAGGCCAGGGGCACCAGGATCCGACATAAGTCAAGTAAGTCAGGTCTAACGATAGAAAAGAAAAAAAAGCATGTATATCTGGGCCTACGACAGACATCGGCTATATTAATCGACCTCCGTGACTTGTCTGTGATTCAACAAAGTGGTTCCTCCGTACTCACCCTGTTGGCACAACAGTTGACATCCACCTCCAGTTGGAGCAGCTCCGTCACCTTCTCTTTATCTCCTGTAGCAGCTTCACTCAAAAGTACCTTCAGAAAACGGCATTCATCATCATAATACAGCAAGAAAACAATACAGAGGTAGATGATATCATTTATGTCATTGATATCATTTCTATTCTTTTAAGGATATCGAGCCACTGGTATTATTTGTTAAGATTGGAATTTCACATGCAAAATTATTAAACTAAATTATGTCAATTACGACCTTACTTCCGTGATATCAATGAGATACCCCCCCCCCCGCAAATGTTCATAAAGTTATTTTACGGAGATGTGACGTCCTTCAAACTTACTAAGCTGGTGTGTTACGCCGAAGGTACCGATACATGTGGATACTTCCGGGTATCGCCCGGATCTCCGAGGTAACCCCCAGGCTGCATATATAATATACGGTATCTACATTGATTCGGGCACTGCATTTGCAACCCGTCTATATATGGGGGCCAACCAATCAACTTAATTAATAAGATTCTTTGCCTTAAGTACGTAGTCACAACTGACCACCAATACATCTTACCACAGTATTGGAATTCTACAACACAACACGACAAAAGGTATGTTAAAGAGTTTACCTCCTCAAGTTTCCGTTTGGCCCAGGACATCTTGCTTGACTTCTACCTTTCTCTCGAAAGTTTCGTGTCTTGAGTCTCGGCAGAAGAACAGCCAATTTTATCGGTCTTTGGTCGGGTGTGGACCTGTGAGGTAAAACTTCCGCCTACCTGTCCGCCATTTTGTCTGATGGGACGCTCACAAAGACAACGTCACGGTTCATTACCTTCATGGTTGTACCAGCCACGGCGTCATGGTTTATTACCTTCACCATGGTAACAAGCATGGCGTTATTTGGACGGTTCCACTCTAGCTATGTAGGTATTTGTTACCGGTACTATGTTCTTGAATGAACTGGTTCTAACTGGTAACTGGACTAGCCAACTCACCAACGATAGCAGGATCTACGTAAAAATATACCATTCCCCTAGGAGGGACTTCCACAGAATATTAAATCCTTACATTATGCATTATGGGGAAATGTAAACTCCTAAAGCATTACTTTCGTCGAGAGGGTTATGTGTTAGCTACACCATTGATAGGGGTTGGTGATATCTACCCGGTTATAACGGGGTGTGGTGCATGTATCTTTATGATATTTGGCCGGTAGGTCGGGGTTGGAACAACTAAGGTCAAGGTCAATTATGGGTAATCTAGCGGCTTTGCATGGAACTGCAGCGGTGTAAATTACCTTTGAGAGGTTCTGACATAATAACGTCCGTTATCTTCCTCGCAAAGTATGTGCCAAAGATTTTCTCATTTGTGATTATTTATTTATTTTTTTTGTTAGAGATTTTTGTGAGAACGTGTTACGTTGAGTTTGCTCGCCTTCGAATGATGCGTAAATATGTGAAGCATTAATGTCTTGAAAATCACAATGATTAGTTACTTGAAAACAGGCTGTCGGTACAAATAAACCAGCCACTCCGAGAATGCCCCACCTTTAATAAAACTCTTGCAGCTGAATTAGACTTTGTAATGTTTTATTCTACTTATAGTTGAGAAAATAAAGATACACTACTAGCTCAGTTATAGCTAAGATCGATTTCAGATTGCCTTATTTATTTACAATTGCCAACTCCTAATAGTCCTATATCATTGATATTAACAGACTACAGCTTTCATTGTTCTGTTTATCAATAATTCTCTTCTAGATACATTTCATTCATTTATATTTCTAAATTCCCAATTTCACACCAAACTGAACAAGAAAACGCTAAAGTACAAATTGCCCTTACATGTACGTCATTAGCCAAAATGAGTGTAAAATATACAAATGTGTGGTGCATTGCACTTATCTTCCCTCCACCTACATCCTATTTTTACATCCATGGTTACACACATTAATACCATTTTCACTGTTCTGTTTCTAAACAATTATTTTCTACATTATAGTATTTACGTGTAATTTCTTTATCATGATGTCTAGTTTACGATAATTTTTCAAAGCTAATTTCAAATGCCACATACTCTCATCGCCTTGCAACGTTTGACGTTTTATGTTTAATGAAAGTAAATCTCAGATTGTTAGATATTACATAACGCCATGTGTTTGTAATAAGGCTTATCATCATTTAAAAATAATGACTCATTCTTTGTATATATTATTTACTATATGTACAATATTCTGATTATAATTTTGCATTTTTGTCTTTTCATTCCTTTACTAAGTAATATGTTCGCCCTTTCCTCATTTATGTTAGTTATCATCATCATCATGTAAGTTATAATTTTATCATATCATATCATAAACTTCTACAGGTTATCAATCATTACTATGTGATAATCATTTATAACTATCACAATTGTGTGTTTGCTTTGTGAAAATCATTTGACCCCCCCCCTCAGAACTCGCGAACGGTATATGTCGTATGACCACCAAATTTTTAGAGGATGGTGTACTAGTAAAAATTTATCATTTTGTATGTCGTTATGACGTAATATGACGTCATTATGACGTCATTAATGTGATTTTATTGGCCAAAACCGTCTAGATAGGTTTTTCCCTGAGAACTAAATGGTATTCAACATAACTTTACCAAAATTGTTTATGACAGAATATTAGGGTGTACTAAGTCTTATGTTGCCCATAGCAACACCGGTGACGTCATTAAATGACGTCATGAATATTTAAGATATCCGCCATCTTGGATCATCAATCATGAATTTTCAAAAGTAGTTTTTTTTCATGATAAAGCCTAAAATACATTGTAAACAGACTAAAGACGTTCATATGAACCTTTTTTGTAAAAAGAAATGGAAGTTTTGATGAAATTTTAAGGAAATTAACCTGTATAAACCTGTTCTAATGATATGGTCCGCCATCTTGGATTTTGGACCATGACGTCATCAAATTGGCATAAATTATGCATTTTTAATAAAAAAATTACATACAATTATCTGGGATGTAATTAATATTAGAAACCATGTGTAACTTGACATAAAACCCATAGAATTCTATTGTTGAAACGAAAATTACTAAATTTAGCAAAAAAATGCCTGTCAGAAACCCGTTGCCATGGCAACACAAAATATAATTATCTTATACCAATGATACAGAATTGTTGTCAACAATATTTTAGGAGAAGTCACCAAGTTTGGTCGTTCTAGCACCATCCGTATCAGAATCAGACGGGCTTACTCTCCGTCGTCGTCGGAGCCGACGATACCCAGCTGAAACCCTCCCAGGCCTTGATTTTGCTGATGATATTGCTTTATTGGAAAACTCAATAAAATATGCACAAAAAATTCTCACAAAGGTTGAAACTTCATGTCAAAAAATAGGTTTATACTTGAATGCTTCCAAGACAAAGTTCATGCATCTAAACCCTACTACTGACAGTTTACTTTTTGCCACTAATGGCACTGAAATCGAATGTGTTGCGGATTTCAAATACTTACTACGGGAGGGTACTCTGATAGTGTTCATTACATGGATGTGCGGATCGCACAGGCATGGAGTGCTCTTCACTCATTACATAAGATTTGGAAAGCGCCCATTAGAAAACAAACTAAAATCAAAGTGTTTAAGGCATGTATTGAAACAATTCTTTTGTATGGGTCAGAATCATGGGTCATGAATATGTCACATTCTAGAAAACTAAACGGAACATACACGAAGATGTTGCGAGTGGTTTTCAATACACCATGGTGGAAACACACTACTAATGAACAGTTATACGGTTCGCTACCAAATGTAACTTCAGTAGTCAAATGTCGACGACTAAGCTTGGCCTATCATGTAGTACTTAGTGAAGAACCAGCCAGTAGGCTTCTACTCTGGAACCCTGATACCGGTAAGAGAAGAGTTGGACGCCCAAACATAACAGTTAAGAAACTTATTGAAACTGAAACTGGCTTGGAGGGACATGAACTTTTCTCAGTGATGTATAACAAACAGTTGTGGCGAGCTAACTTTGTATGCTCCACCTCTACTATGGAGGATGAATGATGATGATGATGATGAGCACCATCCGTTCAGACGCTACGTGACATCAAAGTTGGCGCGGACACTTTACGCCCCCCCCCCCGTCTAGATAGGGTTAAGTCTCAGCCAATCAGACGTCCTGATTTCGTTTTCCAGAAGTACAAGATGTATTAGAGTTTACATATTTACCGTGCAAGTTTTCGTGGGAGGAATCTTAGGTCTAGAGACCAGATAACGCAGTTCAAGTGTAGAACATTGCCCTAGCTAGTAGACCTACTCAACAACAAAAAGCTTCATAAATGAGCAGTAAGACGAGACTATATCCAGAACCGTGCATGATCCTAATCCTAACCCATTCAGGTACAGAACCAGACAGACACGGTTCTGGATACAATGATGACCAAACAGCCAACATTCATAACAGAAGCAGCTTTATTAATTTGTAGTTCACAAAATGTAAACATTTTGGCAACGCCAACGGGTGGCGCTAACAATACCATCGGCAATTCCAATAATGACAAAAATGCGGCCATCTTGGTGGAAAGATGGATCCAAGATGACGGCCTTTTGTAATGCAAAAAGGAAGGTTAAAAGGAATGCATTAGCTATACTATCTAATCATGCAGAGCCAAGCAACAGGTCAATTCTTTGGAAAGTTAATCACTTAACATGCATCAGTAAGGCCGAACTGACTTAATTTTATGGATGACATCCTCTGAAGACACCCAAACCAGTGTGAAAGGGCGACTAAAAAACTCCGGCAAAAAAATAAAAATGCTGCTAAACCACAGGAATACAAAGCTGGTATTGTGAATTTGCGGTACTACATAGCGACGTTTATGACAAGTCGGCACATGCTGGCTTTTTGCGGAATTTCTGAATCGGCACTGTACGTATGTACGGTGTTCTTGAGTCGTGGAGCTTCGGCAGCCTGGGCGTCATCCTCCGAAAGGCGGTTATACCGGCTATACAGATACAGATACAGATACAGATGGCAGTCCGGCCATAGTTAGGACACAAGAAAGTTGAGACATTATGTGGTTACCGTTGTGGTTTCTCTTTTCGCTATTGATCACACCATTACACAATTTGGTTCAGGCTTACATCGCACTTTCACATTCACGTACGTTCGTAATTACAGATGAATTGCACTTGAAGATTCAACCCGTGGTGATTGCGAGGCCTATTGAGACAGTAAAAGATTTTTTTTAAATTTCATTTGCTGACGGATTCAAAGCGTGTTCCTACCTATCTATTGTTAGCTTTTAAAATTTATATTGACAAATCTAATTAGAAAAATCAGTAACTTTATTCTAATGTTTTTTAAATTGCGTACAAAACTAATTTTACCCAGTGAAAGAATCAAGATGTTCAACATCGTAGCTTTAAAACTTGGAAGATGGCTTTCTAGTTTTATAAATGAATTTTATCAGTTGACTTCGCTCAGTTAGCCAATCATTTTAATAGACCCAAATAGAGATAAATGAAGAAAAAAACATCTGCGTTCATCAAGTCCATGTTATCTGCAAGTCGCTGTAGACCCAAAGGTTCATGTCAACCAAGTTAGCCAAGCGAAGAACCTGTAATAGAAATGTCCCGATTGGTACTGTGCGTATTTTATTCGTCAAAAAGTCTTTTAACTTATTTTCACTTCTCTAAGACGATTTTCTTCATCGAGATGACACGCGCAAAATCGTCAATGGGTAACTCAAACCTTTGAAAACTTGAAAGTAACTTTATTTGCACATTACAAAACGTACATTCACAATTCACAGATTTTAAATTGCATGTTTTCAAACCATCTATTAAGAACAACTCACGATGCTGTCATCAGTCCTTTGACGATATAGAATTTCAGAACCTGATTCCAGGGAACCATGTTGCATTCTAGGCACCGCTAGGCGGTGTCAAATTTCAGAACATGGTTCTATAGAACATCAAGGGGGGGGGGGTCGATTCTTTCCGTTCTTGATGACAATTAAAGTTTATGGATCGGTGACTTGAGTTTGACCATTAAAGAAGAGAGAGAGAACTGGGTTGTCCTGAATATTAGTAGCTAGTAATATAAGGTTCCCAAGAATTTTGGAAGCATATGAATGACGTCATTGTGTTTCATTGCCCTTTTCATTGAAAAACTACAGAATTTTTGGTGATTCCAAACAACACAAAACTTCGTCTTTCACTTCATAATGATAAAACGTATAAACGTACGTCTGTGCCAAAAATTTTTCTAATAATCTTAAGTTATAGTGGCGTGGTAAATAAAGTCTCCATTTTGATGTACTATTGGTAGTATGCCGTTACCCTCACCTTATTGTCACGATCATACTGCACGTTGCCGCTGTCGACGTCCCGCAAGTCACCGGGTCGACCTGCCTTCACGGTCGGGACGTCAGGCAGGTCCAGCCCGAGGACATCCACCTTGTCGTACGGTAAGAGCGCCCAGTGAGGCGGGGATGGTACGGGCACCGGCAGGGCATCCACAGTGCAGCGGATGCCGTCACTCTGTAAGCAAGGATAATTGATCTTTCTGATGAAAATTATTTTTATTATTATTATTATTATTGTTGGAATCAAATCGTTTTTTGTAACATAGATCTTGAACAAGGAAAAAATTGTGACTTATGTGATGAAAGAGTTAGGCATGTATGTCGTACTGTTCGCGAAATATATCTATGTGTATTATATATCTATTATTTTAATCATCTTTTAATCATCTGTAACGGAGACATGAATGTTTAAGCCATGACAGAACTGATTTTAAATAGGTAAATTTAATTATCGTTTTTATATTATAACTGAATGACACTTTTAAAGTACTTGTAATGGAATCTGCAATTCAGCCAGTAGGCTGCGAGAGTTTCTTTTCTAATAAACCATTCATTCATTTTTTTATATTCATCAAAACATACAGACATAACAAGGACAGTGTGACGCTGCACTCAAGTTAACAACTTATATTAACAGCGCCACACACAAAAAAGGTACAATTAATATTTAAATATACAAAGTTGACATGTGCGCCGTAGTCCCACCACCCCAAGACATTAAAATATTCATTCATTCATTCAAACCATTCATTCATTCATAGTTTATTGATCAATACTGTCAGCATTTATACATATAAGTTTCATTTGTTCATCGATTTATCATTGTATTCTATTTCAATATGTTAATCTGTGCTTTGCTTGTCGTATGTAATATGTATTGTCTTGTGGCGACATGAATATAAGTGTAACTTGAGTGTGTCGCCACCGCGTCTTGCCATCATGTTTCAATAAAAAAAAGCACAATTGTCTTCAAAGCCAACAATTTTACCTACATTCATACCGAACCCGATCTGCAATTTATTGTTTAAGTAGGCTTAATATATAGTAGCTTTTTATATAACATACGTTTGTGCAGTTACTTAACAAGTATTTCATGCATTGTATAAGTATTTAGAAATTGTATACAAGAATTTCTAAGTACAAATGTATTACTGACCAATTTATAAGTTTATCTATTATGAATCGTGTATTTTAATCATTTAATCATGTGGCACAGTTTTTACAATGTTTTGTAAAACTGTGCAATTCAGCCCTATGGCTGCAAACGTGCTTGAAATAAAAAAAAAGTCTGCTACTACTACTTCTAAGGATTGCTGTAATCGTATCCTTCAAGTAAGTGCAGTTTTACTATGTATTGTTTCAACGTTTTACAGGTGCGAATGTGCGATGTTTTATTTTATCTATTTAGGTGCTTTATCAAACCTATATTAGGAACATACAGGAGTACAATTAGGAGTATTCAGCTAGTCTTCCTGGAGTTTTATAGTAACGTTATATCATGTAAATACACTACATGTTAGCTGCCGTTAAGTACAATGTTATAGAATACTTACCGCTGAGGCTGTGAACGTAACCTGCAGAAAGTTGCTCTTTTCAATGGAATCTGTCGATAAAAAAGCACATCTGAAGTCATGATACTTGTATTTTCTTCTATGATAAAAATTGAAAACTGGATGCATTTAATTGGACAAAGAAGGTATATAATACTGTATGGCGCGAGTAATAAATTCACTTTTCAACCTTCTCCCTGCTGTCTAACCCTGTAACCAATGACGAAGTGGTAGTGAAGCTGTTACTTCAGGGTGCTACAAGTTAAATCCACAAATCCTGGGATAGTCTCGGATATCAATGTACATATACCATGCAAATGTGGCTATCTTGTGACGTAAGAGGTTGCTACATATTCTTGTCAACGAATGCATGCTGTATGTAGCAAAATTACTGTAAGGCCACAACAAGTAAATCTTGTGGATTTTTTTTCGCACTCTCGTGTTAAATTTTCAATAAATCAATCTTATTAATGTCTATGCTATAGGTATTGGTGCTCCTGCCACTTTCATTTTATGTTTATGTTATATTTTATGCCATCTTTATGTTTACTTTGCATTATGTTTTATGAGCAGCGGATTGACATAAGCACAACAAGTGCTTCCTATCTAATGCTCGAAAATCCATGTGAATAACATTGAAATTGAACTGCTACGGCTTAATTGTATTAAATGGTTACCATAAGACTCTCCGTCGTCCCAGAACAGACTCCCACTTGCCCCAGCGGAGTCTGAGTCGTTTAGCGCCACCACAAGGCCCATGGGGTTTCGCCGACTGGAAACACCAACAGTGTAAAAAAGGAATTTGAAGATTTTACACTTATGTGAAGTATTAAAAGTTTGAAGAGTTGTGAATTTTTTTTAATTTATTAATTGTTAAGACTTTCTATCTGATTCTGTACAATTCTTGCATTTTCCGCACCAGCTTCCATATTGTAAAGGCAACAGACCTGACATTCTAGTATCTTTTGCACCAAAAGAATATGTTACAGACCGTACAGATTACTGAAGACAGCCGCTTCCTTCTAGCTTTCGGTGACACCATTATGCACATATGTGTATATATTATTCCTAAATGATTAAAACAATCATGACCTCCAATTTTAGTATCTTCTACACCCAAAGAATATGTCAAAAGTTACAGAGCACATGACCACCCCATGTAGTCACAGAATTATTACCTGTAACTGTTACATAGTAATGTGAACTTAAGGAGAAAAATCATTATTCATTACAGTTAAATTATGCAGATATGTTTTAATTAACCCAGGTGTTTTAGTTAAATCCTAGCTACACAACTGCTGTTACAGTTGTAATTCATGGATCAATCAATCAATCAATCAATCAATCAATCATTTTCATTCATTTGCTGTAACAAGCCAATGAATATATGGTTTTACCCACGTACCTGTAGACAGTAGTGTTGGCAGGTTGCTGAGTCGGCAGAATCGTGCCACCTCGTACATGTACGTTAATCTTGTTCAGGGGGGCATCCAGGGTCACCGTCTGACCTCTGTACTGACCCTCGACCTCTGCACCCTACGATTTAATTATCCAGTCACTAAAGGTCTAACGACAAGACTTATGAAATACACATTCAGTTATATTTCTTCCTTACAAATACCATAGTTGTAACAAGAGTTCCACGATCTCATACCTTTGCCAAATTATGTTAACCCTTGCGGGTGACAAATTATACAATTTTAATCATTGATTTTGCAAATAAGATCCTCATTTGCATGGGTTATATCAGTTGATCATATTCTCCACCAAATGACAGTCTTATCTTAACAAAAAGGCTATCATAGCACTTCCTCATAAATTATGCACATGAGGTCATGATTTGAATGAATTATGTTAATTGATGTTCGCCTTCACTTAACTTCTAAATGTGGTAAGTATGAAATTCCCAGCAGTTACAACTATGAAATTATAAAAAATTTACTGAAGCAAATTAGGTCTTCATATACACAAGTCACAAGTATTTCATAGTCCTATTATCGAACAAATCAGATTTATAGAATTTCCTCATTAATTATGCAAATTAGCTCCTGATTTGCAAAATTGTCATTTGATTATGTCAATCATTCCTTCAGCCATACCAAAAATCACGACAATCCGTCAACCGGTTCTTGAGTAATCATCCTTTGAAAATTTTTCAACAAGCAGTTCAAGAACAAGCCGCTAGGGGGCCCAAACTCATGTCACTTCTTCCCTACCTCAAGAGCTATCTACTAACCAAAATTCGTGACCCTAGCATGTCCAGATCGCGAGATATCAAAACCGGAAGTTCTGCTGCAAGGCAGTACCAACAAAAGCCGCCAGAGGGCCCAAAATCTAATCATTTCTAGGTCTCATCAAGACCTACCCACCTACTAAGTTTCATGACAATGCATACTAAGCTTCTTGAGTTATGCTGAGACAGACAGACAATCGCTACTGAAAACATAACCTTCTTGGCGAAGGTAAAAAGAAGACACATATAGAAATGGATCAGAAAAATATATTACACGTGATAAAAACTTATCCTCTTTATTCTTTATTTTAAGTAAAAAAGAACATAAAACATAGTACCTTGTTGAAAAAAATAGTACAAAACTCTAGAGACATACAAATGATACAAAAAAACCTAGATGCAGAGTAAATTGTGTTTCGAGTTCCTCTAGAAGGCGTCAGATCTTAGTAATTGAATGGTAAGTTACATATATGGGAGGAAAATAATCGCTTTAAGAAAGAGTAACAAGTCCTCTTCCCCCTAGTTTCAAATGTGCCTGTATAATGGTAAAAAAACCCATCTCGCTAGGACTACATCGCCGAGGTATATATAGAAATTCTGCACTTACCGTAAAGAAGTCAAACCAGCGATCGTCTGGAAAGTATGCGTCCACTTGTGTGTCGCCCTGTAGGAGAGTTTATATGTATGATTTTCAACAATTCATCGTTCAGGAAGATATGGTGCTAAATGTGAGGAACGGGATTCTTAAATCAAAATCTATATCGTCAATGAAATTGCTTAGCTTTACATGTGTCAGTACAGGTGAGATGTTTAGCCTTACCTGTATCAGTACAGGTGAGATGTTTAGCCTTAGCTGTGTCAGTACAGGTGAGATGTTTAGCCTTACCTGTGTCAGTACAGGTGAGATGTTTAGCCTTACCTGTGTCAGTACAGGTGAGATGTTAAGCTTTACCTGTGTCAGTACAGGTGATATGTTTATCCTTACCTGTGTCAGTACAGGTGAGATGTTTCTATTTACCTGTGTCAGTACAGGTGAGATGTTTAGCTTTACCTGTGTCAGTACAGTAGAGTACAGGTGGTATTTAGCTAGCCTTACCTGTGTCAGTACAGGTGAGATAAGGAGACCCCGCCCCCACAGAAACTGCCTGTCAACGTCCCAAGTCTTCCGGTCGGCGGGAAACCTGAAGATGACGCCAGGGGAAGTAGTATATGAGAGGTGCAAAACGGCTCACGTTTTCAGGAGGCTGATAAAAATTCCCCCTTGGCAGAAAAGCTTCTGTCGTAATGCTTTCTCAATTGATTATATATAGTGGGATGCGATTTTGTTACAGCTCGCTGTGTATAGTAAAATACATCGAGTTAATTCAAGTCTAATAGTGTGTTGGGTTCTTTTGCGTGCAGATAGAAGTTTGACGCCTACTTCTGACCTCCGGCCCATGGACACTATCCAAAATGACTGATAGTAGAAATTATCCTACACTCTACACCAACTATCCTTTTCCGTTACCATTGTCATAGGAGAAAGTTCACAGCTTTTGCTGATCCGTTTAAAAAGGAATTCAATATAGGAGTGGGAGAATTATGCATACTCGTGCTGGAGCGGTCTGACGAACTAGGGCGACATTTGTCCCTGGTAAAATAAACAATAAACAAAAAAGAACAAAGGTTTGAAAAATTATGAAACGCTACGTAGCCATACTCGTGCAGGAGCGGCCTGACGACCGTTGCCCCGGTAACGTGGGCGTGGTAGAACAGCGTGTACAGGTAGGGCAGCAGGGTGTAGCGCGTCATCATGACGTCACGGGTAGAGTCGATCATGGCCTGACTGAAGACGGCCGGGTCTTGTGGCTGTGGTAAAAGTAGGACTTAGAGTTACTAACTGTGTGTGACTTTTTGTAGAAAAAAAAAACTATGCAGGACAACCACTGTTGTCAGGTCTGGCTGCAGTGTACATATAGAATAAAACACGGTGTATTCCGTATCGCCCGAGGTATCGGCCCGATCGTGAGTCGGATCGCCCGACCCTCGGATCCGATCCGATCCGCGGGAGGGCTGGGACCGAGGGTGATGCAGAATACACCGTGTTGTATTTTATTTATGTCATACCCACCCAAGAAAACACGCCTTTCAATGCAAGATGAGCCAAAAGTTGGTGCCACTGAAACCTAAAATGCAACAACATCAATTCCAACGTCCGGATTCTGTATTCGAATTTTCGAAAGTGGAGAACGCGGTTAGAGCAAAACGCGTTCGAATCGTTCTATGGAAGCCAGGGAAGCGTACCGAGGTACGGCCCGGTCCGGAACCCGTTATCGAACGTTATCGCGACCCGGGTATGATGTAAGAAGTCTTTTGTCCTATC